GCGTGCATTTAATATGTGGTTCAAAGGCTGGTAGGAATCGGTTTGATTTGTATAACTTCACAATTCTTAATGTCAATGGGTTGGTGATTCCGTACGCCGAGAACGCTAGAAACTTGGGATTAATAATCGACAGTGACTTAAGCTTCAGTGTTCATATATCCAAAAAACTGTCGTTAGTCTATCTTAAACTAAAATCCTTATATGCATTTAAGTATTTACTACCATGTAGTACAAAAATGATGCTGATTGAATCATTAATTTACCCTCACTTGGATTACTGTAGTGTTGTTTACTTCAGCTTCTTGACAAAAGAACTGAGAAATAAAATTCAGTTAGCCCAAAATTCTTGTCTACGATTTGTCTCTTGTACTGGTAAATTTGATCATATCACCCCAATTTACATGCAGTATAAACACTTGAGGTTTGAGTCGCGTGTCTCTCTGCATTTTGCTGTTTTTCTTTATAAGATTTTTAAAAGTAATTGCCCTGGTTATCTCTGGTCTCTAATTGTGCCTAGAAATGACTTGCATAATAGGGATCTTAGAAATACAGTAAGATATAATATACCGCTACATCGAACATCCAAATTTAGAAGTTGTTTTGCATTTCTGTCTGTAGAATTACTCAACTCAAATATCTATGATTTGTTAATTAATAATTCATTAATGATTTTTAAAAAGGTTTATAAAAGCCAATTACTGGAATCTGTGTAGTAGTATAAAAGTGTTCAAGGAGACAGGGCATCATGGAAGAACGCCTCAGCGAATGTTGCCTTTTGTGTATTGTTTTTGTATTATATTTATTATATATTATACTGTACAAATTACGCAATAAATATTATTCTATTCTATTCTATTCTAGTACTTATTGTTTTACCTATAATTTGTTTCGTTTGTTCAGACCAACCTAATGTTTTTAACAGATCACATGGTTTTGCTAGTTTTACTAGAACCTACTTATGTATAGACTACTTTGCACATACAGACGTCACAGTCTAGGTGCTTTTCTAACAATGTATGTATTCGATTTAAATGATAAGTTGGCATATAGTACATGTAGTATGGAAGAATGTTTATTGATCTGAAATAAATGTAAAATGTCATAAAATGGCATTTTAGACACTGGCAGCATCCAGCATCCATTAAAAATTACACTTTTAGTGACGTTTGTAGAAAAATAAATATTATGTAAAGTCTGTTAATTTCAATCTGATACTCCAATGGAATGTGAGCTGGTGGCACCCTACATTAGAACGCCAATGGTCACCTATCGTCACACCTGTTTTTGCCATATGCTTCCCCCTTACTCTTAAATGCTCCTCATACGGAAAGTGTTAGATTTAAAACGACAGACATTATGATTATTTAGCTCAAAGTGAAGCCCAAAGTTATTAAATATTAATACTTCAATAATTTTGAGTTTTGTTTCTGTCTTGAGTGCTGACCTAGTTGCTAACAGAAAATATTTTAGGAATGGTAAATTTCTCATCTTGGAAATACACCTACTTGTACACCCCACAACAATAGGCTCCTTGCATCAAATTTTTTTATTGCTGATTTCGATAGTCCACGAAAAATAAGTCAACACGTGTTTTTTTCTTTTTCTTCTTAGTCAAAAATTGATGGAGATACAAAGCTATGAAATATGCCTATGACGTCACTTATCATATAAATTAGTGACATTGCACATGCTCAGTATATCTATTATCCGTTCACAATCGGATGTCCACAGGTATGTACAGGTAAAATCACCTTTCAATGCTATTTGATAGGGAAAGGTGATAAATTTACCTGCACCTGTGGACATCGGATTGTGAACAGGATATATACCGGGTGCCCACGGGTGATCACTTTCCGGCTGCCATTTTTTTATTTATTTATCGATATCAACGAAACTTGGCAGAGTTGATATTCTAACCAAACGCCATTTTTATGCAATTATGACAAGTTTCCCCGACTTCCGGTTTCACCGGAAATGACAACAACTTTTGATTTTTAAATGGCACACTCTGTATATTTTTTGTTTTTCGGATTCTACAGATCGTTTTACATCCTAATGCACCACTTTTGAATCGATTTTTGTCCAAATTTTATTTTTAAATTAAATTTTATTTTTTTAACTAGAGTGCCATGATCATCCTAAAATGACTCTACATACTTTACTTAATTTCAGAAAAATACAAACTCAATTTTATCTTTGTAAACTTTTTTGATAGAGGGCTGTAAACTCCATTATTTCAGTATTTTTGCCCTAGCTCAAAAAATAGAATAGAAACATATCACTTTCATAACATTACTAAATACAGTATTTTAAAGCGAATCCAACGATATAATACACTACGACATTTTTCTCAATTTGCGTTCATATACTTATTTTTGTATGTAATTTTTTTTTCTAATTAAAATTTAATTTGAAAACGAAATTTGGACAAAACTCGATTTAAAAGTGGTTCATTAGGACGTAAAACGATCTGTAGAATCCGATAAACAAAAAATATACAGGGTGTGCCATTTGAAAATCAAAAGTTTCGGTAATTTCCGGTGAAACCGGAAGTCAGAAAAAGTTGTCATGATTGCATAAAAATGGCGTTTGGTTAGAATATCAACCCTACCAAATTTCGTTGATATCGATGAACAAATAAAAAAATGGCAGCCGGAAAGTAATCTCGTGGGCACCCGGTATATACAGTGTCATTACTTAAGTGTGCAACATATGGGATTTTTTTTTAGTAATAGCACAATCAAAATACAAACAAGGCCAAAAGTTGGTGCATGTCTGATAATCATATTAGGTGCACTTAGAATCAGGGATCGACCGATACGGTTTTTTTTTAAAAAAACCCATATTGCCGATACCGATACGATATGGCTTTATTGAAGGCCGATACCGATATAAGGCCGATATATTGCATCGGCAGTTTGTTCGAGTTCAGATAAGCAGAAAATTTAGTTTTTTTTTTTTTAAAATAAATAAATAGTTTTGAATTTAAGTTTAGATAAGCAGAATGTTAAGCTTTTTTTTTATACAGAGTGTCCCACGAGGTTTTTCCCAAATGATAACTTCAGAACGCATCCTCGTATGTTCCACTGTATAATTTTTTATCATTTTCTTTAACAAATATGGGCATTGCCGATTTTGTAATTTAATTTTCTAACGAAAAATGCCATCATAATATACCATGGGTTACATTTAAGATTCGAAAGTTGATGTCACTTGACCAAAATTGAAGCGAAAGAGGTGAAATTGGATGACATTGGTAGAAGCGGCACAAAAAATTACTCAGATCCTCAAAACTTCAATTATATTGGATGACGCTTTCCGAAGTTATTACCTGGGAAAAACGTCGTGGGACACCCTGTATAAATACATAATTAATTTAAAATACATTTATGAAAAACAATTTCTTATATTTATTTTCTTCTTAGTCACTCCCATATGTACGAACCACAATTATTAGCTCTTTCAAGCTTCAAAAAAGCCTTAGTGATGATTACTAATCTTTTAAAATATAATTTGTATCGGTCTAAAGTTATCGGCCAATGAAGGGCCGATATGCTGATACACCGATATACCTGAAAAAGGCCGATACGCCGATATACCGATATGCCATATCGATATCGGTCGATCCCTACTTAGAATGGTTGCAAGTCAAACAGCATACAGGGTGGCTCAAAAAATATCAAAATTCTACTAATATTTACTTTAATAAAATAAAACTTTTGCACTTTACGGAGAGTTTTCCTAATATTGCTATTATGATTAGTAATGTTTTAACTTGTTAAAAAAAAAAATTGCGACATTTTAAAGTTTTGTTGAATATCATTGCAACAAACATGAATTTTGTGATTCCATAAAAAATTAAAAATCTAAGTTAATTTTACAAATATGCTTGAATTTGAACAAAGTTACGTAAAATTGATTTGATTTTAATTAATTTTTGAAAGTATTAAGGGCGGAAATAAAAAATAAAAAAAATATAGAAATTATAGATTTTTTTCGAAAAGAAATAAAAAAAATCTTAGGAGGCTATGTTTTGGTATTTAGGCATAACTTTTAATTCCAAACAACTTTCCTCTATACGATTTTGCTGAATTTTCTAAAATAAGGGTATTTTACAGTACAGCTTTGATATTGTTTGAGCTACCCTGTATGCTGTTTGACTTGCAACCATTCTAAGTGCACTTAATATGATTATCAGACATGCACCAACTTTTGGCCTTGTTTGTTTTTGGGTTGTGCTATTACTAAAAAAAATCCCCATATTGTTGCACACTTAAAAAATCACACTGTATATACAAAACTTAATATTTGTATAACTTCCGGAAAATCATATTTGGGCGAAATTAAAAAAAAGTAACGATTTTTTTTCGATTTCCTACAGTTTGCAATAAACAATAATCAATTTAATTTTCCATTCAAGTACCCTATTATAGCATTAGTATCATTTTCCTATATTTTGACTATTTAAATTTTTTGTTGATAGTATTTTGTTTATATTTTTGATAAACAGGGGCTAGTGATATACTATACAGGTAAAGAAGTTCAGGAATTTGTTTATTATTGTTCAATACATAAGTTCAATATCAATAGGTCTGTTTCTACAGAAATCACAAACCAGTCAGAGCGAATTTCATTGGTTGAAAACAGTCAGAAAACTAGTTTCAACCAATGAAATTCACTCTGACTGGTTTGTGATTTCTGCAGGAACAGACCTTATGACGGGGACAGGGAGGTGAAAACTTACTCCTCTTTTCTTAAATAAATATAGGTGATGGTTGATGGATAATTTTTGTGGGGGTGTTTATTTCAAACACAAATTATACTCCTGCAAATAACTTGCATTAATTTCACCTTATCAGTTTTAAATTTCTTCAAGCATGACTAAAATTGAATATTTATTGACAACATTATCAAAATTATTATCTTATCGCCTGTATGTGGGCACTGATGTTATTTCCAATCGAGTAAATAGGTATTTTTACTGATTTAAGAATACTTACCAATCGTTTTTCCTTATCGCTAATTGGCCCATTAGGACATATTTTTTTGTTCACAGCTACCAAAGCTGAACGTAATACATCCACTCTTTGATCTGCTAGTTGAAGTTCTTCGTGGTTTAGAACTTCACTTTTTTCAGCCCTAGAATTAAAAATAATATTAAAGATTATATTTTCCATAATCTTGAAAATGAGGTAAAATTGGCACAAAATATAAAATGTTTTGTGGTTCAAAGAAAAACAATTTAACCCATAATCATAAATTGAAATCCCTATGGTGCATTATCTTGAAAATTGACAAACAATAAAGTCTTATCTTTGAGAAAACAATAAAGCCATTGTCACCTGAAACCAAAAATAGAAAAATCAGTTCTTACTTGAGAAAAGTCTGGTCAGCGAGTTGCTTCACTCGAAAAAATTGTTTCTTCATTTTCCTAGCATGTTATACTTCCCCTGCTACTGACAAACAACACAATTATTGTATTTACTTAAAGTATGAGATCATTAATTTATAGATAACATTTTTAGGGGGGAAGGACTATTTTGATTTTATTGTATTTGGTATGTGTGAAATTCGGACAGTCCGAACTGGCTCACTGGTTTGCGGCGCCGATATGAAAACTAAACAAACCGCGTATTAATCATCGAATTAATTTTAAACGAAAATCACTAGGCACAAGGGAATCACTTTCTATAATTATTACTATTTGCAATCACTTCAGGGACATTATTTTGTATTTTGATCGAGGGGAGCGTTCGGCTGTTTACGTTGATTTCCGTCACAGAAAAAAATTGATAAAAGCTCGGCGGCGATAAATTAAACCGGCTAATTATCGATATTTAATTATTTAAATTAATATTTTTATTGGTAGAAATCCAAAAATTTTTCTAAAAAAAAAATAGCTTCTCATATGACAAGGCGCTGACATTTAATTTTTAAAGATTTTCTTGACAGATGACAATTTGGATTTTTCAAATTCGCCATTTTGGTTTAGGAAACCTGCAGTTTTTGTGCTTATTCGGGAAGAAGTTCATAGATGGCGCCAGCTATTTTTCGATATTCCAGTGGCGCGGTGTTTTTTTCATTCAAGCAGTCACTGTAATTCAAGCCACTAATATTTTACACTAATAGTCCAGTGGCAGGGCAGGAAGTAATTAAATTAATTATTTTAAATTAATTTCTCAGGAAATTTTGGAAAATTAAACCAAGAAAAGAATATGGGGGATTTATGGTAGCAGCATTCTTAAAAAATTGCTACATCGGGGAATTATTCAATCGAGAAATTATTCCCGGCGCTTGATTTAAATCAAAAACTGAAAATTAAAAAGAATCAGCTAATCACATGAATTCTGAGTTATTCCTATAGCTTCCCCATTGTAATAGAAAAATTAACAAGAAAAATAATAATATGGGAGATTGATGGGTAGTATGGTATTAGCCTTAGATTGTAGCATGATTCTTGAAGAGTTACTACATTGGAGAATTATTATTTGATCGAGGGATTATTATTCCCGGCGCTTGATTCAAATCAAGAGCCATGAATAATCAGAAATTGGAAAAAATCAGATAATCAAATCAATTCTGAGTCATTACTGTAGTGTAGCTTCCCATCATTGTCATAAAAGAATTGAACTAGGAAAATAATAAGATGGGGGATTTATGGTAGCAGAGCATTCTTGAAGGATTGCTTCATTGGAGAATTATTTGATCGAGGAATTATTATTCCCGGCGCTTGATTTAAACCAAGAGCCGGGAATAATCAAAAACTGAAAATTAAAAACATCAATTCTGAGTCATTCCTGTAGGTTCCCATTGTCATAAAAGAATTGAACTAGGAAAAGAATAATATGGGTGATTTATGGTAGCAACTGTCTTGAAGAGTTGCTATATACCTACCGTCAAACGGGGTTAAGTGAATCACCCGGATGGGTTGTCAAATTCTAATGCGCAGACTCCTTATTTCTGAGCCCTTTTCGGTGTTCGCATGATATTCGTACGTTACTTTTACTTACTGATGCTGGTGAGGTAGTATGCCGTCGGTTTCGAAAATATGAGAGCCAGCATGAACGACTACAACGAGAACTATCCCTATTTCCTCCCCCTTTTGAAATGCCTAGAAACTACAAAAAAAAGTTGGGGCCTCAGGACAAATACAATGGACCCTTCTCATGCAATGAACAACAAGGATAGTTTATTAAGATTTCTGCAATAAAGAAAAAGACACATATAATGACGCACGATACCTGTGTGGAATGACTTTGATTGGTTCCACTTAACAAATTGTGCAATTTCGGTTATGTTTCTGTTTTTGTTTATTTTTAAACGTAAATATGACAAAATACGTATTAACATTAATTAGAAAGAAAACCCACCGCAGCAAAAATGTTTGCAGCAAACCTTTAATTGTACATTATTGTTGTATTTGATTTAAAAATCGTTATTTTACGAACCCGCAAATCTCTGTCCCAACTTAAATCGTCTTCATTCGGGTTGAGAGCACGTAACTATTATTTTCTTACAATTTGATTGCTTGGGAACTTGTGAAAAGAAAGGTTTGACTTCTTTTTCGCCTAATTCTGACAAGAACTCATTCAACTCATTTGAACCATTGTCTCATAAACAGTTTTTGTAATAATTTTCAGCAATATTGGTTGATACTGATTGATTATTGAGGTTAGCTTAAATACGTCAGGGTCAGACCGTGTTCAGTAAATTGACGATTTAATTATCTGTCACCCACAAGATGCGCGCGCAGCACAGGTAAAATGAGAAAGGTCCATTAGTGCCCACTTGCACCAACCGCAACTTAAATAGGTCTTAGCTAAGTCGGGTCTTAATTTTAAGTTAGCCTTTAATTTAATTCACTTGCACCATAGACAAATTATGCCGACTTGCCAAAGTCGGACTTATTAATTTGGGGCGATGACAACGCTGCGAAATGACAGAAGTTGACAAATATTCTTTAGTATTTTGTGGTTTTTCCGTGTTTGGGTGTTTCTGATTGAGAGTTTCAGCAATGGAAGAACCAAATTCTAAAAAGCAGAGGGGCGCGAATTTCACATTAGCATAAAAGGAGGCTTTAATTAATATATTGGCAAGACTTAAAAATATTATTGAAAATAAAAAAACTGATGCTCTATCCATTCATGAAAAAAACGATTCCTGGGAGTATGTATGCAGGAATTTCAATGCTGCTTCACCGGGCATGAGAGAGAAGTTTGGATTCTTTAAAAACTATTATAAGAATCAAAAAGAGGATCTACAGAAAGAAAATAAGATATATGTGTTACACTTATGTTGTTTGTGGTCAGCGGTGCTACCACTTGGCTGCGTCGGCTAAGGGTTTATCCTGAAAAGAGGTTATGGGGAGAAAGGAAAAATTTCACCACTAGTAGTTAATACATCTATTGTTACACCCTAATTTATGTAGGAGATGATTAAATAGGGTCTACCAAAAATAGATCGCAGTAAATGTTCTTCCCTGGTGGGCCATCATTGACCATTCCCTTGGAATGCCTATTTTTGGAGAAAACCCTAACGCTGTATGTACCCAAACAGCGCTATGAAAATGTACCCTCGAAGAGCTTAGTTTCCATAGGTCTAGGTTTGAGGGTAGAGTGGGGCTTCTACAGCACGACATTCACCTTAGGATCTCAGTCGTACTGTAGCAAGTCACACCCAACTTGGAGAGAAAGTCTTTAGGCCTGTAGCCTCGAGGAGCTTTAAGGCTGTGGAGCCTAACCTCTGCCTGACTGCATTGCGGTGCGCGTAATTTATACAAGAATTATTGCTACCGTCAGCAGAGTCAGTTAATTTTTTGTAGTACGTATACAAGCCCAAATTCATTCCATTTTTATAGTCTGTGGGCTTGTAGACATTTATGAGTTGACAATATGAAAAATTTATGTTATTACTGGTTATATTATGTTAAGTCGAATTTAAGGCCTAGATTTTGGTGACTTAATAAAATTCAATTTAAGGCTACTTTAAGTCTAGCTCGACTGCTGGTGCAACTAAAATTTAGAGTTAAGTCCTGGCTTAAAGATAAGTCTGACTTAAGTTAGTCTTAAAATGTTGGTGCAAGTGGCCATAGGTACGACAAAATGTAAGTAGAAAGAGCAGTGGCGGCGGTCTGACGGGGAAGCTTGTCCATACGCAAAACTTCTAAGCAATCTGGAGTGCCGTTTAGCACTATTCAGATTCCACGTGTAATCATTTGAATACTTTGTCAAGTGTATGGAAACGAGTATGTATGCCGGCCTTATCAACGTTTCCCATGTAGTCGAGCGCATTAACCCACACGACCACCGTTGCCTTGCCTTATGAGATATTTATAGGGAATTAATTTTTTTTTCTAGTAGGTACAGGTGGAATATCAGTTTCAAAGAATAACTCGTATGTGTGTGGGCAAAAACTGTCATTTATTATGTCGTTTGAAAGTGCATGTGGTCATGTATTGTCATTTGTCTGGCTAGCCAAACGGCGAACGGCAATAGAATTTGCTGCTTTGCCAAACTTTACGGAAACAGTAATAAACAAGTTGGTGACATACTTTTTTTTGCTATATGGGCATGTGTGGTATTTTGAAATAGAAAAAAATCCGGCAACATTGTGAAATGATGGATGTGGAGAGGCGTGATTATTCAGAGGCATGATTCTATTGGTTAGAGCCTGAACGACAGCAGAGTGGCGTGGTTATTCGCGAAACTTCTAATAATTTTATTGGTTCATTTCCTTGGTGTTTTCGGTGCCACTGAACCCAAAGACATGGCTGTCATTAAGCGGTGTCAGTTGAGGTGTCAGTGAATATTCTTAGGTTACGCCCCACTTTTCTTCCCCCTTTCGTCTCTAACAACTTACCACTTGCCAGACTATACTAATTTTCAACGTGATAGTTCGCTACGCACCGTTTATGTCTCCGTACTAACCTCAAAGCCGTGACGTGGAATGGCGTGTGGACACGGGTGTGAACTGCACTATCATGTACCTACTTGAGTACTGACGCCACACTCCAGATGAAAGCACATGTGAAATCTCTTCCCATTCTATCATTGTGTGCAGCCCTCCTCACTCACGCACATGATTTTTCACAGGTTTTTGCAGATAACACGATAAACCGCGCGAAATAATGTGTGTGTATGCCGGCCTATTGACCGGGTTCGAATCCTGGCCACACCGAAAATTATTTTCGGTCGGACATTTAGTGGCTGCGTAGGGTGAAGTGCAAATTACTAAAATAACAACAACAAAAACACCTTAGAGTTATAAGCGGGCGTAATAGATCATAACGCCCGCTGGGCTTATAACGCCCTCAGGTTGTTATAGGTATGCTAACGTATTTCGTTTCCTAGGTATTATGGATCTATAATAGTTAAGTAGAAAATAAAATAGTTTATTTCCTACTTAACTATTATAGATCCATAATACCTAGGAAACGAAATACGTTAGCATACCTATAACAACCTGAGGCCATTATAAGCCCAGCGGGCGTTATGATCTATAACGCCCGCTGATAATACCGTGAAGTGTTTTTGTTGTTGTTGTTTTATTAATTTGCACTTAATCCCCTTGGTACATAAATAGCTATTTTTTCCTCGGAAGGGGATAAATTTTGCAGTTGCATTTTCTTAGGAATATGAACTTGGGTACAAGTGTTTTTTTATTGTTTCTTACCTTGTAGTCCTTGTAGATAGGTAAAGTCTGTTTTTTTTTAAAGATAATTCCCCAAGTCAAAAATTTAGTAACTATGTTGGCAGCACAAGCCTTTTCTACATAAAAAATTTGAAAGCACTGACAATTTTACATTATATTGCCAACATAATGTCATTTTGACTTCTATCTTCAAAAAAAAAAACACACTACTTTTCAATAATGTACCTTGAATGTTTAGAATTGACATGACTAATTTGTCAAAATGGAGC